GTGATTGCCAAGCTTTCGGTAACTGAGTACTTTCTTCAGGGCAAGCAGATTCAGTTCTGAATAAACGCGGAAAAATCCACGTGATGTGAGCACAAGGGACTGTTAACCTATTCCATTCATTAAAAGGGGTGTTCATATGGAACAGTTTCATTTAAAGCTGGAATCTCCTGCGTTTCCATCATCTACAAGGATTATTGAAGAACTTGTTCTATTTTCAATATGTACACCAGTCTTTTGTTTCACGGAGATTCTAGAAAAGGATTCCCATTTCAGCTTCTCGATCCAGCTATGGATTGTGCATGCGAACACGTTTATAATGCACACGCTTCGCTGTGGTCTCCTCAAATTAACACCCCTATAAATTCCATGCATAACAACGATTTAATTTGTAAAACTCCCACCTGCAACATTGATTTTTTTCCTGAAATGTATGTTTAAAGACCTCACCTTCCGACTGTAGTCGTTTAAAAGAAACCCTTCCTTTCAACATGACCCCTTTTCCCACAACGTTATAAAAAACGAGTGATGCGTCCCATTCAAATTTTGTCCATTGCTTCTTGGCATGCGTGTAGTCAAAAAAATCTTCACGTTTGATCAAAACTTACAGTGCGTGGAGATGCAGCACGTACGACCGACCGTCGCACACAAACGCACATGCAGGCAACACGCTGCCAAGTTGGCACGGTATGGCACGGTCAAAAAGGAATTGCAGGTAAACAAAATTTTTCTCCCGAAGACAATTTCATCTCTAAGATTAACTTTTCTGATAAAAGTGAAAGTCCCATATGAGAAACATATCATACGGGATTAAATACTTCGAGTCACAGTTGAAATTAATAAATTACCAATAAAAATTACTGCCGGCTGTTCGTGGATCGTGGTCCATCTTAACGCAGCTAAGAAACAAACGATGTGCACGCGGTCGCTGCACAATATTGAAAGAGAAGAGTTTGAACGTAGGGGGCGCTTGTCGTTCAACACCCTTCCGCCCCCCCCCCGCGTCATCCGATGTACAGTGTAGGGAACTGGAGCAGCGCGTCATTTTCGAACTTGGAACGCTGCATCCAGAAGGAATGAACGTGGACTTTTCTGCGTTCATTCCCAGAACTGAATCTGCTTGCCCTGAAGAAGGTACTCAGTTACCGAAAGCTCGGCAATTACATATTTCAGAGCATTAATTTTATATTATATTCTTGTCAATATTCTGATCACGGTGCTACACAGCATATTTCCCTGTTTACTCTATCCCTATACGGTTCGTAAGTGTGACGTCACTTCAGTTTAAACCAAAGATTGTATAGCGCCGCTGGGCGGCGCTATACAATCTTTGGTTTAAACCACACCTACAGCATGCATATGCACTGCACATAGAGATGCATGCATTGATCGCCGTTTACATGGAACCATGGAACTGGAAGTTAACGCACAACTTCAGCGATCGTCCAATGGGAGCCTGCAAATTGTGGCGCGTCCATGTTTGTGATGAAGTCACTTACAAATCGGATTTGTCATGAGTCTGCGTGTGACGCAGCATGCAGAACGCGCCATGCGCACGTCAAGTCCATTTACAAGGAGATTCTATAGAGTACCGAAGTGAATATGTCACGCGCACAATTAGTGTGTAAAAGGCATTAGTGCGAGAAAAAGCGCGTGAACCAACACGCGCGCGTACTCCATTCGTTTGCACTGCACTTTCTGGTTCACAGTGACGTCACATTCGATACTCTATTGGACATCTTGCAGTAGGAATGCACCATCAAATGAACGCTGGCATGACGGGCGTGCAATGATGTTTCTCTCGCTTAGTACCACTCATTTTGTCCATTTCTCCTTATTACTAGCATATGCAGCCCCAATTGTCAACAAAATAGCTAACCATTAACAAATTACATCAAACTATAGGGTATCAGTTTGGCTTCAAGAGGAAACATTGGCCGTTATCCAATACTCAACTCCGTCTCAGGCTTCGTGTAGAAAACCAATCCCCGATTGTGGGCCAGAAGCGTTTAACTTAAATTGAAGTACTCTAATATGTTTGGCTCTTTTGCATCTTACTTGATGTTTTGTGGCACTATCAGACTTACTATTACGCTTACAATCTCAAAGTCATGAAGTAAAAAACAGTTGAAGCCTGCGACGGAGCCAAAGTCGAGTATTTGAAAACGGCCATTGCCACACCGGTAAAGGGGCATTTTGTGCGAAAATTTTCCGAGTTTTGGGCGCCATTTTGTTTAATATTTTGGGTAGAATGACGTCGCGCAGCGTCTTTTCCGCAACTGCCTGCGTCTTGACGTTTTGTAGACCGTCTGCGTTATAAACGACCATATGGAAACCAGGCTTTACTCAGAGACTCAACGCAGACAGTCGGAAAAGTTGAACTGGGCCCGGGCTAAACTTTGAGGATCCGCTTGGGGTTGGTTTGCGTCATCGGCAATGTTTCCGTTTGACATGTTTCCATTTGTCTGCGTTGCTGTTTGCGTCTTGATTGCGTTGTTCTCTGCGTTTCTTTCGTCGATATGGAAACCAGGCTTTAAACCTGGTTTCCATAAGGTTCTTTGTATCGCCAACGGAACGCGTTACGCAAGACGTGAGGACGCAGGCACGAACGAAAGCGGCGGCGGATGACGTCATTCACCACTACAAAATTGAAGCAACTACTCAGAAACCCCGGAACACCACAAATCCGAAACACCTCACGACGCCAAACCTCTGTTCCAGTTTCGTACAATTCATTGACGGTCAACTATTTAGTTGATCAAACTAAAACTGCGCAAACGCAGCCCGCGAACGATCGGCAACGTTGAGCCAGGTTCAACCTTGCCAACTGTGTGCGTCGATTAGCCGCGGTATGCCAATAACACATATGCTGGCATGGCAGGCGTGCAACGATATCCCTCGAGATCGCTTAGTTCTACGAATTTTTTTCCATTTCCTTCTTAATGCTTATTAAATATTACACCAAAGTGATCAACTAAATAGTTGACCGTCAATGAAATGTACGAAACTGGAGCAGAGGTTTGGCGTCGTGAAGTGTTTCGGAGTTGTGGTGTTTTGTTGTGGAATGACGTCATCCACCGCCTCTTTCGTTCGTGCCTGCGTTTTCACGTCTTGCGGAACGCGTTCCATCTGGGTTACAAAGAACATTATAGAAACCAGGCTTGACGCCAAGACGGAACACATACCGCCATCCACTTTGAACCACGTGGCCAGGTTTATGTCAGTACCATTTCAGGCTACTATCCTAAACTGTTTGAAAGATATTGAAAAATGTATTAATTTGAGTTTTTATTTAAAGTTTTCAAATTTGTTTGGCCCTTGATACCACACTCTTTGACCGTTATAAGTTTATAATTGCTTTCATTTATTGATATACTTTTCCTCCACAAGCACTGTGAAGCGGCAGTTAGCGTTTTTACATTGCAAACCTTCTGTTTGATAGATTTCTTTTTATCTTCTGTAATAATTTTGTAAACTGAAGAGGTATACTATTACAAATACGATATCTTCTACTTCAATGCCATCATGCCTACGAAATCATTATTATATAATATTGGCTAGTCATGTGCACAGTAGCAAAGTTATCATTATAACTTACCAAATTGCCATCATCTGCCACTGCGTTTCGTACGAGCTCGCTGGTACTCTGCATGACATTTCTCCAGTTTAAACACATATCCCTTGTGTAGTATTGTTCTAGCAGAATTCATTCGAGCAAAATCTGAGACTATTCATTCATCCAAATGATATCCAATTCTTGAAGTTTTCACTATCTTCTCCAGATTTTGGCGTAGAGAAATGAGGCTCGTAATTTCTTTTGATTTCCTGTTTTTCACATTGTGCCTTATTTGGAGTAGTAGATAAAAGAGCTCGCAGTAATAGTCACAGTACAGCTGCACCAATTGCCTGCCAGCCTTCTCCGAGGTGAGCCGTGGCTCAGTGGCTCGAATATGAGCCGAAAGCCAAGTCCGGCGGGTGTGCCTGGACTTCACTAAGGCCGTTTTCCAATACTCAACTTCGTCACCGTCTCAGGCATCGTCCCCGAAACCAATCCCCGATTTTGGGCCTGAAATTGGATTTCTGTAATTTTTGGCCCTCTTGAATCATATTTCATGTTTTGTGGCACTATTAGACTAATTATTGCGCTTCCAACTTCAAAGTCAGGTTGTAAAAAAACAGCTGAAACGTGAGACGGATCCGAAGTTGAGTATTGGAAAACGGCCTAAGAAAGGGCACAAAACCGCTTGACTAACTTCGATACCCACCCTTTTCATGTTTTCTTCTTCTTTTTTTTACATATGAAACTGTCCATTAATCATCTAGTGTTTATGATCGTAAATACCAATTCAGCATTTTATTTGTTATATATGTTTCGGTTGCGTGAGAAGTTCTTTCGTTTTTGACCGAGTTACACATTTTACTTCCGGTACGTTGCCCAGGAATGATTAAGTCAAGTTCACGACTTTCCTTTGATATTACTAGAATTCCATCGGGTCCCTAAAATATGGATATGCTCTCTCATTTAATTGTATATAAAACACACATGTTTTGTTGAAAAAAGAGCTTAAATTTCCTTGTAATATCTGATGACGTCTCAGTGACAGCAAGCATAACTTGACATCGTGTGATTTATATCATCACAAGTTGTAATTGTTTGTTTTTAATATACTGACCGACTTTTAAATGTATCCGAACTTTGACTCTTCATTAGTCCCAGGAGCCGCAAAGGTCAGACGACATAAATGTCTGTTGCACAAGACCGTGAGTTAAATCCCAAAGCATCATCGCAAGTTATCTGATACCACTTGAGTTCATCGTTACGTCACAATTGTATAATTGAGATCGGGTTGACCGTGTCACTTGAAGTCAAAGTTTCGATTTCACACGGTTTTCCATCGAGAAAAATCATCGTCATTTCTCCAAGCGTATCGTGTGTATGTTTTTGGTACGTGTAGTTCATACCAAAGATACTGCATGACGTCATCTCCTAGGCGACATTCCGTAAATATGGCGGTGAGATTGAGCCCACGACCTGAGCCTCTCGACAGAAAACTGTAGATATTTTCGCGTGAATGTGTATATCTTGAATAGCTTTAAAAGGTGAGCATAGAGGTCGGAAGTTGATAGTTTGATAGTGTTTCAATAAGTTCAAAATTTCATTTCAAACTGACTTTTCACATGGTGTCAACCGATCCGTGGCTAAACCGAGAGCGTACCGCACGGCCGGTCCAGTACAGTAGGCCTACTCCCGGGAGGATTATATCGTCGTTAGTACAGGGAGTTGGCCAGCCTGCTGTGCTGCTACTACTGCTTGTGGAATTGTTTTAATAACGCCAAGCATAACAATTACATGCGTTACATATTACCGGTATGTTACTCATAATATTAATAAAGTAGACATAGGACACAGTACTGCCGGAGGAATCAATAATTTGGGGGCGCAAGCCCAAGGCCGCGATGGATGGGAGTCGAGTGTGGCTATGTTTATTTGGTTGCATTAGATGACTACATGGAAGCTGATGACTTCGACTTTGGAAATATGTCCTGCAAAATAACCTGACATTCCTAAAAATTCGTTACTTTGCCAGGCCTATCACCTTTTTTTCAGTCGCAAGGCCTAACTTTAGGTCTTGGGCAGTCTTTTTAGGCCCTTACTTGACTTAAACAACCTGACATTGTCAAATCATGGAGAGCACATGTAGGCCTATACTGGCATTTCATGTTGACATCAGTCTGCTCACAGCTTCATTCAGAATGAGTTATGAGCCCAGCCACCAGTTTAGACCTGATGCACAAATAGGTCAGGACATATCTAAGTTTCAACAAAAACTTGCAGTTTTCTTCTCTCTGGTTTGACTTGTGAGTAATTTGCAAGTCATAGCCAACGTAAGGCCCATTATTACAAAGGACGATAAGTAAGTGCTGGTCTTGTAAGAGCAGCACTGAGATACTAAATTCAACGTCTGGATACAATATTCTTTCTCACAGACCTGGCTGAATAACATCCATTTCTTGAAGCACAAAACAGATTCTCATTTTAATCTCACGTGTTCACTGATCTCCTATTTATTTTCCTTTCTTGGTTGATTGAAGTGCATGTTAGGCCATGGAAGAAAAAAATAGTTGGTGATCGTCCCCCACTCGCCCCTAGAAATACATCACCCCCTCCCGCCATTTTTTTGTATTTTCTGTTTTTATCAACAAAAAAGAAAACAAAAAACAGCTTTTTTGGATGATCCCACATTCAAATTTAGAGGAATAAATTTAGAAAATATACAGTACTTCAGGAAATTGCTGATAAACGTTACTCCCGAACATCTACATACATGTACAGTGCAAATTCACCCAACCCCAACTCCATGGCGCAGTAAGATTGAGCCCATGGGAATGAGGTTGAGATTCACGAAACCGTCCCTTAGTGTGTTTCTGTAAGCCCCTTCCGAATTGTTGCCTCTGTTTGCAGCCAGGCGGATAAGCTTGCGGAAATTAGAGCAGTTGGCGAAGTGGCAACCACAATAGCTTTGTACAATGTGGTCGCAGCCATAGCCAGTAATTTGGATGCGGCCTCTCTGCTGCAAAGCTGGGTCAATACTCAATAGCGGCAGCCATTCCCAGCTACCGATTCCACTTCACAGAGTTACAGCACTGTCACCCTGTCTTAGAAAACCCTCTTATTTTCGCCTGGCTGTACAACCCCTATTACCTTTTGTGATGAATGACTTTCATGTGTAAAACCCTTTCTTAAAGAAGATAAATAAAACTCATTTCAGTGAGGAAACTGCTCTTTATTCAATTTTTTCCAATCCAGCAAGGGTGCATGCTTAACTGAAAAAAAATGCCCTCCCACCCCTAGATTTTTTTTTAAAGGATGCTCACCAATTTTTTTTTATGTGGCCTTTAGTCAAGAAAATCACATATGGCCAAGGTTGCACCTTACATTTTTCAATTCTTTTTATTGTCTCACATATAGTAGGCCCAGCTTTTAAACCAAACAGATGGCACCAACAGGCACTCAAGGTGATGGACGCATCTCTGATTCCATCAGTGCCCATGGCACACACCACCCAGAGCGGACTAAGTACAGCCGCTCCTCCAGTGACGCCATCAGCTACGAGGACCTGCTGGTGGCTCAGTACTTGGAAGGACTCAAGAAAGCGGAAGCTGCTGGCTCGCGGAAAAGGTAAGCAGCACATAGTAGTACTTAGCAACAAGCCAGTATTTGTGAACCACTTGCCGACAGCATCATTCCACATTAAACTTGTCCCAGACATCTCATTCTTGGCTGAAGTTGCTGATTTCTTTCAGTGACTAGATACTGCAACTTGTATTTTTTAAGACTATCTATTCCCGGCAACTACTCTTTTTCTGTACTTTATCAATTAGGACATCTACTTTAACGCTTTATTTATAGGGTCTTGTAAATCAAGTGGATGTGCAGGCTGTTTTGCTACAGAAAGGAACTAGTTGTCAAGGATTGGCAGTCTTGGAAGTTGTTCGTAGACGCTTCCTGCTCAAGCGTATATAAATGTTCAGCCACAGCTGTATACATGTATGAAAGCAGTATTGAGCTTAGTTGTCATGGGGATGCAACAAATGCTGATGGCACCCAAGACTTCAAGACAGAGAGCTGCAGAAGAGACACTGTGCAATATCATTCTACCAAAAAATTCAACAATGTGGTAACTGAAACTCGAAAACTATTCACGTAAAATGCCTCTGTTAGATGGAAATACCTCCTCTTGAAGCCAAACTACTACTCCAGTTTGATGTACAGGTATTTTGCTGATGGTTGGCAGTTTTGTTGACAATTGTGGTTATGTTCGTAATAAGGAAAAATGGGAAAAAAGAGTGGTACTAAGCGAGAGGGGCATTGTTTTACACCTGCTGTGCCAGGGTACTTGTTTGTGTAGGCCTTCTGTGGTGACTCGGTGCAGGCAGTCAGCTAATTTGAACCGGATCCAACTTTACCGACTGTATGCGCTGATGTTTGCGGTAGTAAAGGTAAAGTGTTTCCATAACACTGCGTATCATCGGAGACTGATCTGCGATGCTGTCTGCATGTCTTTGTATTGATATGTAAACAGGCTTTTCATGTAGTAGTGGACTCAACCCTTTTCTTTGCCCTCCAGGTTGAGCAGGCCCACCAAGCCACTGTCCCCCTACATGCAAAAGCTGGCCCACGGCGACCAGGCTGTGGCGACCACTAGCGCATTACAGTCTGTCAGGCCCACCAGGACTCACCGGCCATTCTCGGCTACCGCAGCCGGCCGCAGCTCGGCCCGGGAACGCAAACGCATCGACATCAAGTTCATGGTAGATAGTGGAGGGATGGGGGAAGAGGAGGAGGCGGAGCCAAAACAGCAGGGGAGGATGGGAGACGGGCAGAGGTCCAAGCTGCGACCGACGAGCGCACCCGTGTATAAAACCAAAAGGTTGGGGTTTTTTTAAATCTGGGTCAAAATTTTTGGCAACATGAGTGCACCGTGTGTAAAACCAAAAAGTTGGTGTAGTCAAAATGTAGGACAAATTTTTGGGCAACATGAGTGCACCAGTGTGTGAAAATCAGAAGGTTGGTGTATTCAAAACTTAGGTCAAATTTTTGGGCAACATCAGTGCACCTATCTGTAAAACCAAAAGGTTGGTGTATTAAAATTATAGGTCAATTTTTTTGGCAACATACATCAAATCATAATAGGAAGACTGACAAGATGTAAAGCAATTTGAAAGGTTGATAAAAAGTTGACTGGAGTAGGAATTAAGAGGCCATGTATGAAATGGACTTTCATAGCTATCATTGTGTCTATTCTTGGCAAAATACCCTAGACTTCTGTAGTCTTAGACACAAGATACAGACATGGCCAAATTTGTTCTGTGCTGGAATACTGGGTTTTCATATTTAAACTTCATATCCCTAAGTGATTCATGAGATACCCACTCATGTCTGGCCATTAGGGTTGGGGTGCCTGACTCCCAGTTTTGGCCTGTGCCGAGCCAGGAGTGATAGAGCTTTGTGAGGGCAGATTGTTTGAAGTAGCCAATGCTGTGTGTCAAAATGACATTCAGCTGCAATACACTTGAGGGAATAGTGATGGTTTATAATTTCATGAATGTCTCCATTGTCCGGTTCGTAAGTGTGACGTCACTTCAGTTTAAACCACTCTCACTGCACATGCACTGCACACAGAGTTGCATGCATTGATTGCCGTTTACATGGAACTGGGAGTTAACGCACCACTTCAGTGATCGTCCAATGGGAGCCTGCAAATCGTGGCGCGTCCACCTTTGTGACGAAGTCACAAACGGGATAGTAGGGGTAACAGTGATTGCCTTCAGCACGGACATTGAGAGTTTTACCGTTTATAAATACTTGTGTAATATTGCCGTCTGTGTATAAGTTCATTGTTGGTCATTAGAGAGTTGTTCCATTCAACTACTGACCATCAAAATTCCTCCAAAATCATTGACCTTTGTGGTAATTCCGGGATTTGCTTTTGATTTTAGAGCCTTTTGGTGTTAGTCAAAATGGCACACCAGTATTCATTCCATTTTGGACACACCATCACATTTTAAGTTCTTTCAGTGAAGGTAAATTTATGTCACATTTGTTTGTTTGTTGGTGTTTCATAAGAGCTGTTGTTCCCTCTCTCTGTCTGTCTATCTGTCTGTCTAGACCTTGGAGTAGTAAGTCTGGGTCTTCCACTGCTACAGCCTCACAGCGATCACGACGAGTCCGAGCCCTGTACCGACAGCAGCCTCAGGTCATCAGAGCCACTGTCTACAAGAACGGAGTGCAGACTGATGCCGTGAGAGTCACTGCTCACTCTATGAAAACGGTAAAAGTGAAAAGGGTCCACCCTTTTGGGGTACCTTGTTCTTCTTTTCTTTCATTTTATGAAAACTGTCATCCATCAGGGATTTTATGAATTAAAAAAGTGCATTCTTTTAAACATTTGCAATTTCCAACCCTTAATGGACAACCGAGGGTGCTGTCTCCGTGATGTCAACCAGGGAAGATGTCGTTCAGTTATACGTTTTTCTGTTCAAGTTTGAAACCGAACGTCACTCATCGAAAAAACCTCTTAGTGAAACGGAACATTGAGTCTCTGACCAAATAATTTATCCTTACCTCTTGGTCTTTGTTGTATTTTCTCAGTTTGGCATAATAGCACATCATTATTTTTTTCTCATGCTCGGAGCCACTTTCGCAAAGAGCCACCACTGTGTCACTGTGTCATAGATGTGGCACAGCATTCTTTGCCTGTGTGAAAAGCTTCAGCTGCCTTTTGCATGTGTAGTCCACTGGCGTATTTAATGGATGTGTTCAATGGTCGCACTATTATAAAGTCAGTGACACGTGATCGACAACCCACCAATGAGATGACGGTGGGCTTAGTCAGGTGCCCCTTCAAGAATAAAATCCAAGCCCTGCAAGTGTACTGAGAGATGCCAGGTCTTATTTGGGGTTACAGTTCCTGGAAGCCTGCACCATCAAGCTGGGCCTACAGTTTGCCGCCCGACGGATTTTCCTGTCAGACGGGACAGAGGTGAAATACCCAGAAGAAATTCCCAAGGACTCAGAGGTCTTCATCTCATGCGGAGAACCCTACAAGGACCCCACTACTAATGTCAAAGGTTTGTCAGTTTGAGCCTTCCCTGTGGAATGTTGAGAACCAATTCTTTGATTTTCAAACAGGCCTTTTTAAAATTTATTAAAATTTGATGTGCCATTCTCACAAATTGCCCTTTTTTCCAATACAGGCCTGCCAAAAATGTTAATGTTTACCAATGTTCAATACACCTTTGAAGGTGTGAGGTAGAAATGACCATAACAATAAAACCCAGTGTCAGATTGCATCAAAACTTTGAAAGACATACTCATAATGAATTTCTTTACATGCATACCAAGGTTGGTGTAGACAATACGCAGAGAACGATTGAGAATGTTGGGGCAGATTCTGCTGTGAGAACCCGAGCGCTTTCAGGATTGAAGTAAATCTTCTTTGACTTTCCTTTTGGCAGGTGACGCTCACAAGAAACTGTACGCCAACTGGACGATGAACGGTGTTGTTCTTCCTGTAGAAACTAAGAAGAGAACCAAGTCTGCTTTATCCAAGAGAATGAGGTAAGGTTTGTCATATTTGGCTTCTCCCTAGAATCAGAAGGCCTTTTCACACTAGACAAATCTCGGGGTTGGCACAGGGTTAAAGCAGAGTTGAAAACTGGTGGCGATTCACACGTGAAAATTTTCAATCCAGTGTCAACCCCGAGATTGACTTCAGCCCGGGTTGAGCTCAACCCTGCTCTGGACCAGGGTTGAGGTTTTCAACCCGGGTTGAAATTTGTTTGTGCTCATTTCTGGGTCGAACTCGCCCCAATAAGCTCAATTCACATGAAACAAGTGTGAAACAATGCTGGGTTGAATGCAGGGTTGAAAATTTTAATTTTCAACCCAGGGCGGCCATGGGCTTGCCCATGGTTGAGTTCAACCTGGGTTGAAACGCTGTAGTGTGAAAAGGCCTAGAGAAACTCCAGCTTTAACCCTAACCATGCTGAACCCAACAAGGTTATTATTGAAACAACTGTGCCATTGTTAAAATGTTGTGCGCAGTGCTAGTCACGACAGTGAAATGAGCATGTCTTTGGCTCAGATACGCCAAACTTAGGCCTGAAAAAATGTAACACCCATTCAGTACCACATCAATAACTAACTGTGCTCATTTAGTCGTCACATTGTCACAGCAATCCTGTGTGAAATAAATCACCCAACTTGGGACATATTATGTCTGATGGGGTTGGGTTTAGAAGGATCTTATAAGAATTGTAATGTTTGATATTTTATGCGCTACTGAAGGGTTTGATTTTTTTTCAATTTATAATTTAATATCAGTAATGAAGTAAATTCAACTTAAAATTTAAGCAATCCATTTTCAGTCTGCAAATGCAAATGTGGGAAGTAGCAAACGGTAAGTAAATTTTTTCACCTAAACGGTAGTGCTATTGTAGTTGACGAAATTAATTCCCTTTGTTCTTGAAGCTTGCATATTTGTCATCTGTTTTCACCAGGAAAATGCTGGAATCCAAAATGCGTCGGGTCATGATATTCCGCAACGGAGACGGCACCGAGATGTTTGAGACCACGGCCTCCGCTGAGAACTTTGGCAGGGTAGGTTCCAGCTTGTGACTGAATACTGCACGTGGTTTTGGCAGTTAAGTTGGTGATACATTTGGTTTCACCCTGAAGTCATGGCTTAAGACAGGCTGGCCATTTACAATGTTTTTTAATATTTTTGGATTGCGGACTTGGTAAAGCACTGGTACAGTGTTCTGGAGGTCACAGGTTCAAATCCCCCTCCAGTCAATTTCTTTGTTCATCTTCATATTAATACGTAAGCACCAATTCATTTTGTTTTGTTTTTTATCTGACGGGAAATATAGTTTCTTGACGACTGCACATTACGTCTTGCGCTGACTGCCCCAGCTAGGATTGTCTATTCTTGGACGGGCTCAGAGGTGACAGATCTTAATGATGGTAAGTCACGGCTAGCTAAATATCCGTTCAAAAATAAGTATTCTCTGCATTACTTGAATGCAACTTGAATGCAGTTGACTGTTAATACTTTTACAGGATGCAAAATAACTCCCCTACAAATGTAACTGATAATACCCAGTGGAAATTGTTCTGTTTCTTTTTGTGCCTGTCCTCAAGGATAATTCCTTTGTGTGTGTGTTTTTGATGGTACATGTAGTACAAATACATGTGTGGCAGAGCTAGAAATTTGTTATAGTTTTTGTTAGCGTCTTTTCATAGGAGTAGTTTCCCTCTAAAAGTACAGTTTTTTGTTCAGAGTTCCCCTGGATTTTTCTGTTAGTGTATCCCCCGTTTATTGACTTTGGCCCTTGCTTCTACCTATATTTCTTGACCCCATGCTGTGGCCGAATTTAGTTTTGAAGAGCAGACCAGCAGAGACACTAGCACTGTTCATTTGCTCCTCTTAACTGGAGTGTGTGTTTCTGCTTGAGTCAGGTTCTGTCTTCTGTGAGTCATCTGTGAGTCAGTGATCGAAAGTCAGACTTTCCTCATGAGGTCCATTTTACACGCTGTGTTGGGTTTCGGTTTTTAGTCTTTTGGTTTTTAGTCCTTTTAAAGTTTTAGTCTTTGGGTGTTTTTTAGTCCTTTTGGTTTTTTTTTTTCAATTTTCCAATATTTTTTCATTAATAAATTATTTCTTTGTCCTTTTTTTGAAGTCAAATATTGGTGTCTGAGTCCTTATTAATTCAGACCCTGTGACTTTTCCCTCAAATATCCTTGGTTTAGTTAGAGTTTTTTGTTAGTTTGCGAGTTCCCCATAGTGTGCCATTTTTCCCCGTTACACATGCACACCATGAATGAATACTGAGTGTTCACCATACTGACCTTTCACCTTAAGGCTTTCTCACCACGGTCCATCCTTAAAGGCACACATTTTTCGTGGTATCATCCTTTTACAAGCCTTTGTTCTTTTCGCACCCCTGTAGTGCCCCTCTTGGATCGTTGTCTGCAGAGCAGCACCACCCCTCTCTACGGCCCGGTGTGGATCTCCAAAGGTGAACGGTTCAGCCCCAAAGGTGTCAAAGGTAAAACTTATGCCAAAGAATAACTGCATGTTGGCATTTGAGTTGTTTTTGGTCACGTCAAAGCTGACTTCAGAAACACACTTGAACTGCTGTTGGGGTCAGAACTTCAGGCCTTCTGACTTGCTTTCATGAGCCCACGTCAGGTCAGAGGTTACTCTGTCAGAGAGAGAGGACGTGTGTTTGCCAATGCTTTTCGATTAGTTAAATATTGACAACTTTGTGATCATAATAGCTAGTCCCAGCACTTGTCGCAATGTCATGTACTGAACCAATGAATGATAGTAACTGTGTGCACATGTATGTCATTTTATGCCATGCGTACACTTCATATGGCACTTTTTTAAAAATGCATCTGATACAAATTGCTGAAAATGGCTTTTTTTTTTCACTGTGTTCTTCAAAATGACTTCTTACCAGAAAGAATAATTTCACAGTCCCATAACCATCTTTAAACCAAGAGTTTCAACTAGAATTTAGTCAGTCACTTTTTGGATAAATTTCAGTGATGGACTGCACCTTTAATGTGATGTCTGGACCTTTCTTGTAGCCTTTCTGGAGACCATTATCAAACACTGTAAGCAGAAACTGCAGGCCGCCAACACCTACAAGAAGCAGCTGCAGCACGGCCTGGCTGGCGAAACGCAGCAGGTCACCGTGATCGAGGTGCTGTCCAAGTCAGAGCAAGAACTGCAGAAGGAACTGCAGGAGGTAGGTGTAGTCACGAGATACATTTTCATATATGCCCTGTGGAGAAGAGAATGTTTGGAACATAAACACGAGCGATTCCCCTGTGGATGTATTGCAAATATCACCTCTGCCGCTTGTGCAATCTCATGGGCGTGTCGCAAGGGTTCTTCAAGGAGAGGCATGCGTGCATATTAGCAGGGAAGATCACCTTCTGGTCCAAGAGGCATTCAACACATGCATACATGCAAGGCCTTTGTGAGTGCTGACCTCAGTAACCGTTTCTAATTTAGGTGGCAACTTCAGCCTAATGAAAGAATGTTGTTGGTACCCTAAAAGAAACTTTACGTTCATGTCTCACAGAGGAAACAAAGGCTTGAGTGATGATGATTTTCCATTTGGTAACAAGGGTTGACATATTTTAACCTGCGTTTTTCATGTTGGAAATTTCTGTGAAAGACAGTGGGTTTTTATTGACAAGGTTTCTAGGATCCTTTTGTTACAGGGCTGCAAGTGGACATCGAATTATTAAGTCATAGCTGACTATTAAACCACAGGGCAACATGAAATGTACTTCCAGATAGCTTGGAAAGGCGCTACGTTATGAATCATTCATATTGGCCAGGACCCAGTTTCTTTGCTTAGCTTAACAGAAAATATTGCGTAGCGGAACGCACAAAGCCACCTTTGTAACTCATATAATTGAAACCCTTGATTGACCCAAAAATCAAACCATAAATAGCTGCGATAAATCTACAAAAATCTTTTAAAAAATTGGTATGAATGGTTGTGTTGGCTACAACAAATGTTGAAAATTCATCACACATCATTTTGTCCAGTGGCATGCGTTAATGATGCAGAAATGTTGCTCTCAATGGAAGGCTTTGAATAGCATCTTGGTTGTTTTTTCCCTCTCAATTTTGGCACCCAGACAGAGGAGGGCATTGCGGAGTTCAGCGAGGCCAAACGCAAGCTACAGGACATCTTGGAGGAGATCTCAGAATCGGCAATGGAGGAAGAGGTGGGAAATTCATTATGTGTTGCTGGTCCGTTCTGTAAAAATGATGCTGAGCTGATTTTCTTGTTGTTATTTCCAAAAGAGCAATGACGAAAGAGCACCATTTAGTTTATCTTTCTTTGAAAGAAGACACCTGATCAAGAATGGTACAAAAGTTTGGTTGCAAACCCTGGTCTTGGACCCTGACCATCATTAAGTATACGGTGCGGCACCGGGAGATTGCCAAAGAGAGGCCGTTTGTCAAGTGTGCAGTTAGCAAAGAACATGGCTGACTTGCCGCAATTTAAGTTTGATTGAACTGCATGGCATTCCTTACCTCACAAGAAAACCGCCTTCTTAATCAAGACTCGTACTCCAAAAGACTTTCAAATCTTCAACCCAGACCAACAAACACTTGGAAAAATTCAAGTTTCCTGCTCACAGCACCATTTCCAAATAGAACTTTGTGGACTATCTCCCCATGGTAACACTGCAAAAAGGCCTCTTTTTTCTTGCTTTGCAGATATTCAGGAGCCAAAATGGCCAAAGAACTTTATCATGTGTGTTAAACATTACGTTTACCTTTCATCAGCTACTTACCAAAACCCCATGGGAAAGAAATTTACAAGCTGCCTGGTTGGGACTTGAACTTACTAATGGAGGCATTCTCTCTCTGTCATTAAATATTAGAACATGTGAACCTAGTTAACTAAGAATGAAACATTTTATTCTTTTCTGGATATTTGGCAAGAATTGAGTGCCCCCCACAGTCTTAACAGTAATCACGTGAAAAAAACAAAACAGACATATATTTTGGAACAAAATCTGGTCATATTTCACTTCCTCAGGGTGCTGGATGTACCTACACCATGCAGCATATCAAGGAGTTTGACTCGTCACATCGCCTGGTGGGCCAGCAAGGCATCAGGTTGAAGGTGAATGGTTGAGTCAGATGGGGTGGGGAATGGGTGGGGAATGGGTGGGGGAGAGAAAGGAAAGGATGAAACCAGCCAGAACCATTCAGTCCCAAAAGCCATGGAGCAGGAATTAACAATAATAAGACTTTTTTACTGGTGGCCATTCTGCATAGCCATTTCTTTTGTGTCCAAGTGTTACAGCTGTGGCTTAGGATAGCATATGCAGCAATGGAAGCCACTAGTTAGAGGCTGCAGCTCTCCTCAACCACAAATTACGCCACCACAGCCAGTAAATTTGGACACATTCCTGACAAATCTGTGAAATTGGTATCAAGTAGTCCTGTCAAATGAAAACAGCTATGATGTCCCAGAAGGGACATTGTAATTGTTGTTTTTCTTTTCGAGTACTGCAAAATTCTGCCACATAGTATTCACTTTTGTTGTCATGCTTCACTTGAAGTTGTTTTCAACAGATTTTAAAGTTCCAATGTTTGAGGCAAGAATTGTTTTGCAATACTTGTCACTTTCTTTTCTGGAAGGTGTATGAGAATGGACAAGGCGAAGGGGAAGAAACAGTGTTTTTCAACTTGAAGGAGGCCTCTAAAGGAATCGGCAACGACCATAGTCTGCTTCTTCAGCGGGTAATTGTTACGTGTTTGTTATTGTGTCATTACTAGAAGATCCAAAGAAAAGTATTTTTATTCTGAGTCTCCTTCTAGAAAAAAGGGATAGAAATTATCGATGTCACCAATTTTTTCCAGCTGCAGCAAAGGGTATTAAGGCCATCGGAAACAATAAAATGTTGTTAGACCGGCATCAAAGGGTTAGTGTGCAGGGTGTCAAGTGATGTCCAGTTACGGATGTCTTTCTGAAAATAGAAACGTACAAAATTTTGCCTTTTCCTGAATTTGTATGGTGCTGGTGCCACTTATTTGATTTGGTCAGAAAAACATTTTGCTTTTGAAAATTAGTAATATTGCTTTAAGTCAAGAAAATTATAGTTTTTCAGACCAGATAAGATTGGACTCCTACTGCCAGGATTTTTGAGGGTCCAATTTTCCTGGTAGGATTATTTACTTCAAAATTTTTTTCTCATCTCAGCTGCTTGATGAGCTGACTCGATGGGCCCGCGTGGAAAAGAACACCACAGCCCTCAGCACCGTGGTCACCAAGATATTTGACCGTGAAGGCAAGGAGATCACAGACGTCCACGCTCTCAAGAATGACCAAGAAGTCTGGATTTCCTTTGGAGAGCCATTCAGAGACCCAAACGGTTGGTTCACATTTCTGATGCATTTGCTTTATGTTGATATATAGAACAATTTAATATTTGTGTTTCAGATACCATACAAGTATCGTGCCTTGCAGTTGAAACGTAACCTGGGAGTAGGAAGTTCTTTTCCCACTGTTCCTCATCCCGGGAATTTCATTTTCAAGCCACAAAATGTGAAAACAATTACTTAGCATGGGAAAATATTTTTCATAGCCTTTTCACATGAGTAAGAGAACACCTTTAAACACAGTTGGGCAATACTGTTATGCCTTTACACACAAGTGGGAACATTTTTTGCTAATGACATGTGGATGTAAATGTGTATTCTTTTACGCAAAATTTCTCATTCCCATTTGAAGGGTCAACTTTCTATTTGCCGTGAACAGTAGTATGCAAAATATAATGTGACCCAACTTGACAAAATGAATCACAGGTTGCTGCAGTCGCTTTTGAAGTACAGGCCCTTGAAAGAATCTTGAAAGATCTGACATCCAAAGCAATCCTCAACATCAGTGTTGGAGTCAAGTCCATCACAAGTCCTTTTACAAGTCTTCTCACAAGACCAGTCACAAGTCCCCT